AGGACGATAGATGTTTGATAGGAAAGAAGGAGGAGAGATAAGGATGATAGATGTTTGATAGGAAAGAAGGAGGAGAGATAAGGACGATAGATGCTCTCTCTCCCTCTCTCCCCCCTCATCCCCCCCTCCCCCCGGTCAGCCACTACAGACAGAATCAACCCGTCCATCCTGCCAAATGGCCCACATAGTGTGAAACAGGCCGTAAACCACCTGTCACCTGTGTAAGAGACAGACCCGAGACCACCACCCCCCCAACCACACACACACACACACACCCCACACACACAGGGTGACGTCACGAACCGTTTGTTGTTCATGGGCGCCACCTCGGACCAGAGCTTGGAGCGGGTATCGAACACACGACAGCTGCTGAAACACTCGCTGGCATCGAAGCCCCCTATGACGTAGATGAGGCAGCCAATGGCCACCACACCGTGGTACGCTCTCGGCGCTGACAAAACAAATACAACAAAAACAAAACAAAAAACGGTTGTGTGACTTTTCCACCACATCAGAAGTCGTTGGTGTTGTGTGAGCTGTTTGTTTGTTTGTTCGATTGATTGTTTGCTTGTTTGTTTGTTTGTTTGTTTGCTTGTTTGTTTGCTTGCTTGTTTGTTTGTTTGTTTGTTGGTTGGTTGGTTGGTTTGTTGGTTTGTTTGTTTGTGTGAGCAGTTCATTTGTTTGTGTAATCTTATTTGTGCTATATCGGTGAGAGAAGTAGGGCCAGCTATCGTGAGTTGGATTGTTTCTCTACAACACACACGTGTAGTTACATGGACACCAGGAATGTTCTGGCACAGAGATACACAATTACATTTATCTTTTGCCTGGTAGAGAGATACACAATTACATTTATCTTTTGCCTAGTAGAGAGATACAGAATTGCATTTATTTTCCGCCTAGTAGAGAGATACACAATTACATTTATCTTTTGCCTGGCAGAGAGATACACAATTACATTTATCTTTTGCCTGACAGAGAGATACACAATTACATTTATCTTCCGCCGAGTAGAGAGATACAGAATTACATTTATCTTTTGCCTAGTAGAGAGATACACAATTACATTTATCTTCCGCCTAGTAGAGAGATACAGAATTACATTTATCTTCCGCCTAGTAGAGAGATACAGAATTACATTTATCTTCCGCCTAGTAGAGAGATACAGAATTACATTTATCTTCCGCCTTGCACACGACCCATCTGTCGGCCCGGGTGTCGTAGGACTCCACCATTTTGATTGGTCGGCCGCCG